TACAAACCTACAAACTCACAAGCAAACAAACAGACAGACGAAGCGGTTTATATATAGGGTGATATTTGTATGTAATAACGTTTTTACTACTTTTTAGGCTCAGAGAATGGAACACTTCGGTGAGAAAAACAACATTCTCGACACCTGCTATTCTTCGCTTTTAGCGAGACCAAAAAGCTTCGAAGCAGCTCGGTACATTCGCCGAATACATCGAGAAGATGTCATAGGCGAGTCTTCTGCATGGAAATGGTCTGCAAAGTTCAAAATGGCGATTTTGATGTTGAGGGCACGTCCCTACAGCGAAGTCTGACCTTCTCAATTCGACGAAGAGGTCTCAAAGGAATACAGTGCACAAGGACAGTAACTGTCAACAAGGAGTTCTATATAGCCAAGCTACATCGCGTGAAACATATTATTTAACTGAAAAGGCCCTTTAAAAACGAGAGCAAATCATACTCCTTCACGACAATGCCAGAGCCCATATAGTACAGGTCTTCAAAGCTACACTCCGAGAGCTCAAATGAAAGACCCTTTCACAACCACGGTGTCCTCCGGACATGCACACCCGGGCTGCTTTAGCAGCTCCTTGGCCTCGATTAAAAACGAAGGAGAACAGGTGTCGAAAATGTTTTTTCTACGGGACAGTCCATTTCTAACAAGGGAACCCCAACAGGTCGATCCGGCCATTTGCAATGAGATGTACATATATGGACGTGTCTTGAGCCGCTGAATCCAAATCTGCCCTCGGAATTTGCGGAACGATTCTCTGAAGGGAGTTACGGACCATTTAATCTCTGCTCTGTTCGCACAAGTTGAGAACGATAACTGCATGCGGCAAGCGGTCGATGGCGTAGTGGATAGGCGCACTGCTTCAAAGACACGAGGTCGCATGTTGGAATCCTTGACTCTTGAAAGTTTTTGAACACTTCATATGAGTCCCTAAAACGCTTCTGTTTCGGCCAATTTACCTAGTTCTCTGATTTCCCTCAACGGATACGCCAGCTTCGGGCACAACATTACGACAGAACAAGAAAGCAACAACTGGCTGTTTTCGTGCGGAATGCCACGTGTTGGTAGATCATAATCATGGGTGCTGACCATATCGGGTAATTTTGCACAGAACACGTGGACAGGATTTCGTTCAAAATTAAAAAAAATTCATCACCGCTTTCTCTCTGAACTGGTGGAGAACTGTAACTGTACCGTGTGTGGGAGCACTTCTGGCACTATTACAACTACAACTACTACTA